ATAAATCCTAGAGACTGGGATTGCCTCACTCTCCCCAGCACTTAGGTTTTTGATGGTCTTCAAGAAGAGTGTAACAAGGGATAGATGGCTGAGTGTTTCCAGGTCCCTGGAAGGGAAGGGTTTAAAATGTAAAGGTCCTGTCATGTCCCCTCCTGATGGAAGCCAAGATCCCCCTTGTTGGATTTCTGTGGAGACCAATTCAAGCTGTATCCCCAGGCTCAGGCCAGACAGAGAAGAATGGATCTGGAAGGGACCCCACACTTCCCAGGTGCAGACAATTTGCAGAGAGGAAAGGGGACATGCTTGTGTCACATACGCAGTCATCATGCTTCTAGTTTCCAGCACAAAGCTATTTCTCCCAAAGAGAAGTCCCCTGTGGATCCCGTATTCTGTAACTAGAGAAGTATTGCTTGAGCAGAGTTGTTTGATCTTTCCTTCCTTACATTTGACATTATACATACTCACAAATGAAAATGACCTGTAAGGGTCAGGGATGCAGCTCAGTGGCAGAACATCTGCCTGGCAAATATGAGGTCCTGAGGTCAATTCCGAGTAGGGGTGGGGAGAAGGCCTGTAAAGCTTCCTTTCTAATGCTGAACTTGTCTGGATATTCTGGTCTCCTAAAATGAGCTAGGGGATATTCTTTCTCTCTGCATTTGTCTAATTTGCCTAAACTCTGCTTTGTTCTGTTGTTCTTTTCCTAAGATAATAAGGTTGGCCTTCTAACTCACTAATTTTCACATCTTTATCTCAAATAATTTAAAGCTTATCTGTTTTCAGTCTGATTGTTGTCAGAAATTCCTCAGTTTACCATAGAAGCCCCTGCTATACATACCACACAGACTCGCCCTGCCTTGTACCTATTCAGTCAAATTCATACACTTTGACTGTTGGTGTGGCCCCTGTGGGTTTTACTCAACCTTCATTCAGTAAATATCTGCTAAGCTTCTGGTGGGTGCCAGCTACTGCTGTAGGCACTGGAAACCCAGCAGTGGCAAATTCCCACACTGATGGTGCTTATATTCAGTGACATTCAGAGCCCCTGGCTTGTTACCACATTGTTAGCATCCTTGCTTGGCTTGGCCTGGCTTCCCTAGCAGCAGGAACAGAAGAGGTTAAATTGAGATAGAGTCATGGACAGACCCCACACTCATCTTCTATTCCAGACCTGGAGCCCTAACTGTACAACAACTGTGCAAGGTCCTTACCTGATCTCCCATTACATTTTTCGTATCTTCACCCTTGTTTACCTTCTAGAGTTGTGTGAAAATCAAATAGGGCTTTGTAGACAGCAAAAGGCTCTCAGAGGGACTTGATCTGTTAAAAAGATCTGAGGCAGAGGCTGGTCCACAGGGCTTCTCAAGATTCTCCCCAGGGCAGGGCAAAGGCTCTCTAGGAGGACAAGGGTGGTTTTCTCCAACAGAGCTAGCAGTGCCCCTTTTCCATGTTCCTCAGGAGCATCTATCTGAGTGATGGTGGAAGGAACCCAGAGACAAGGGGCCTCTGGGGAAAAGCCTCCTCATAGCTGAGTCTTGGGCTCAAGCCCAAGCCATCTGTGCACCAGTCTTTGTCCTTTGGGTGGTATCCACAAAACTGGGTCCTCCCTTATCTAGGAAGAGCCTTTTCTATGGGGAGAAACAGAATTAGCCCCAGGGAAGAACTTCTTTGAGCAAGGGAGGGGAAAAGCTTCTAAAGGAAGCTTATGGCAGCAGAGGAAGAGGCTGGCGTGGTTTGGCACCATCTGTACTAGGCCTGGGTGTAACAGAGGCAGAGTTCTTTGTCATAAACTGGGCATGCTGCTGTGTGCCTGTAGTTCCAGCACTTGTGAGGTTGAGGCAGGAGGATCACTGTGATGTCAAGGCCAGCCTGGGCTACAAAGTGAGTTCAAGGTTGTCCTTAACTACATAGTGAAATCCTGTCTCAAAAAGACAAAAATAAATAAATTTTAAAAAATGGTTTGTCAGGCTGAGGATACAGCTCAGAGGCATAGTCCCTGCCTGGCAAGCGCAAGGTTCTGAGTTCAATTAGCAGTACCCCCCCCCCCAAAAAAAGAGTTTTTCATATATGACTTGGAAGAGTCATGATGCTTTCATTTGCTTTTTAAACTCAGGTCAACTGTCTTCTTGGGAACAGGTGCAAGCTTGTGTGCAGTGGTTTATCAGATTAGGTGCCCTCATCATTTCAGCACAGGCACACCAACAGTGGTACCCAGGTTAGGGTCTAATGGCCCAGATCCATCTATGACAGTCTAGAGAAACAATCATGGTGTGACAAAATCCTGGTACTAACCTGAGAGGGAGGGTTCTTATTACCTGATAGAAAAGAAAGCTGGGAGCAAAGGCCCACAGGAATCCATCCAGATCCCCTGTTATCACATAGGGTAACTTTCTGTTTTCTGCTTTTTCCTCATTACAGATAAAGTGTCTTCCTTTTTAAACTCCATCCCATTAAGTTCTTCCTGGTGCTGAGTTAACTATCTTGGTGGACTGCTCATCCAATAGAGCAGCAATGCTCAACTCTGGACGCAACAGAAGCAGCATGCTGGGAACCTCTGTCTCCTCCCTTACCTCTCCACCAGGTCTGACAGGGTCAGAATGTGTATTTGTGATGCAAATATAAAATAAAGTGAAAGACAGCATTGGAATAATTGAACATCAGTGACTAATAATTATTGAGAGCCCAAGACACTGTTGAGTTCTTCTCCAGGATGACCTCTTGTAATACTTGCAGTAATGGGAACCAAATACCAGCTACCACCAAATGCTGTCATCTCCCTTATAGATATGGAAGTGGAGGCACAGAGAAGTTAAGAAAGTTGCCTGGGATAATCAAGACTCACCCCCAGGCACACAAGCCCTGGCATCTATGTTTGTAAACAGTAGCCTGTCAACCCCCTAGGTACTCAAGAGAAGACTTTGAATATTCCTATCCTGCAGGGCAGAAAACTAGCTGACTTGTTTTATTACTTGCAGGCAAGGGGAAGCACATCTTTTGTGATAACCCTAAGCACATTTAGGATTAGATAAATGGGAGTTGGCAGTCTTTGTGTGTGTAGCATTCTTTGCCAAGGACAGTTCTGACATTATCAGAGAGGTAAGTAGGGTGGGATTCTCTAAGGAAGACTCAAGTAGCAAGTAATCTGGATGCAGAGCCAGGGTCTGTAGCTGCCACCACCTACCCTGAAGAATTCTCTTCTTCGGGATGTGGAGGAAGAGCAAGGACTGAGTTTGGCCTGCTATCTGATGGCTGGATGGGCTGTTAGAGCTAGAATGAGATTTAGCTTTCAGCCCCTGTGTTTGGTTTGTGATAGAATTTTCCGCGCGGAAGGGAACCATCTGATAGAATTTTCGGCGAGGCTAAAAAGATAAGAAGTATGAAATAAAAGCGGCCTTTATTTTAAGAATGTGGAGAGAGACTCCATGACCCTCCAGGGTCTGGCATTCTCTCTGCCAGACATGTTGTGTCAGGGCATACATGTAGCTTAGGTTTGGGGTGGTGCCTAAGCGGCATTAGTGATGCACAGGTAGCCCATTGGTATTCATTTGGCACCACAGGTAAATTGCATAGGGGCAGGAAAGGTGACCTCAAGACAGAGCTCCTTGGTTCTGCCTCCCAGCCTCCCACTGGCTACAGTGTCCCATCTGGGGCAAAATCCTTTGGTTTGCTTTTTGTCTTTTTGAGACAAGGTTTTGATATAAGGGAATGAAATTCCCGACCTCTTATATGTGTGGTACAAGTTCGTGTTCTCTAAAATTGAAGGATGAATTTTAGGAACAGCAGAGGTTAAGAGCAAAAATATTTATTGAGAGAAAGGAAGATAAGGCTGGGTTTGGCCTGGCTGAGTGATCTGGTCTTTGACTCCTTCCTATCCAGCCTCAGTCCCCCTACTTAGCCTAGGGTTCCCAGACTTGACTGTACTTCCCAGGAAGTATTTCAGCTACCTAGGGGGATGAGGTAGGGCACTTTGGAGTCAGCTAGAGCCAAAGCCCTCTGTGTCATCTGTACTACAGAGAAGGGTTTCTGAGAATGACTTCATTTGTTTTTTGAAAAGCTTTGTTTGGCTTTGTAGTTTTAGTTTGAAAATCCACTGGCCTAAGGGCCCCACCAGCTGGGAGATTCTATTCTGGCACAGGGGGATGGGTGTGGAAAAGGTTAAGCATTGTTCAGCCCTAGAATAGGGATGAAGTTTTTAAAAAAATCTTATAAAACAGCTATGGTGGCACCTAACAATAATCCCAAAACTGGGGGAAGCTGAGGTAGGAGGGTTGAAATTTGAGCCCAGCTTAGGCAGTTTAGTAATTTAGTAAGACCTTGCTTCAAAATAAATTGTAAAAAGAGCTAGAAATGTATGTAGCTCAGTTTAAAGGCCTAAGATTCCATCCTCCAGTACAAAAAACAAAAAACAAAACAAAACAAAACCTCACAATGTGGTTTGTAACGTGGAGATCTCATACTATTCTCTAAAATACAGTGCTCTTGTGAAACCTGTGGGGCTTGGGAAGAGTTTTGCTCTGACAACACTGAGGTGAGACACAAGTCTTGGGGACTCTCAGGAGTGCTTTACCCACCCTCTTTTGGTTTGGGGGTGTGTTTGTGTTTGTGTTTGATTTTTGTTTTATAAGCTTCTTCATTCCTGGGAGCTGTCCTCTGAGATTGTCTGGATCTTACATGGTACTCATTTTACCCCGGGAGTGGGTAACATGAATGGCCTGCGTGTTCCTTCCCAGAGTAGTAACCTTCCCTCCTGTGATACCTGCCCAGTTTCGTCCTCTAATTTCATGCAACCATAATTTGGTGAGGGGAGACCAGCCCAGTGGCAGTGGCAGTAGTGGCCCTGATGGGCCCAAGGGAGATAGATTCTGCCTTTGCCTGTAGCTGTGAATTAACAGACCTGATAAATAGCCCATTTCCTGGGGCTGCAGGAACAAAGTCACAGTGGCTGGCCTTGAGGGATCTGTCTTCCTGCCTTTTCCTGAAGCAGCTGTTTATTCTTTTGACAGGAGTTGGGCGTGGACTGAGCACCTTCCCAGTCTCCGAGCCCTGCCTCCTTCACAGAGTTCAGTCATTTTGCATTTTGCTCTGGAGGGAAAGAAGCAGATGATGAGGTATGTGAAATGTTGAAATGATTTGCTTCTGCCACGCTTGGGGTTGCCAGGAATCATGGGTGCTGCATAGACCCACCTGGGATAGTTCCTGGCTGCCCAACAACCCCTGTTTGATCTGTAGATTTGGAAGGACACAAAGACCTTCTTTCTGGGCAGTAGATCTGGAACCAAGAGCTGATGAGTTGCTGTCTTAGGGACTTTTGCTGTAAGCCCTGCTTTATATTACTTCCCTTGGCAGGAACTAATAGGGTGATGGCCTGCACTTTTCTCTGCAGGGGACTTTCCTTGTGAGTCTCAGGCCCCTGCAGCCAGTGTTGTGGGTGAATACTCTCAGGACAGCACAGTATCTTCTTTTTCTTTTGCTTTGGTTCTCTCTGGAAAAATTCTTACACAGGAATTTTTGGGCTAGGTTACAGCTGGAATGGACTTTAAATGTCTGAAAGGGGATTCAAGAAAAAGCGCTACAAAGATGTAACGTTCAGTTTGTGATGGCTGGAGTGACAGTGAGCTGTGTATTTAGTCTGAGCCCAGTCTTATTTTCCTGTGTCTGTGTTTACTCTGGCTCTTATAATGAAAAGCATAACTGGAAACAGACGTTGTTGCACTTTCCCCCCATGAATTGTACTGTTTCTTCTGATGGGAGTATTTCCCTGCTTCTTAAGGTACTGCCTTTCCTTAGGCTCAGGACCTGGAGGCAGAGGGTCTGCTCTTAAATCTGCCTATATGGGTGCCCCCAGCTATCTCTGGCCAGCTATTCCTCTTTGCTAAAAGCTCACCCCTCTCAGGCAAAGGGCCAGATAAGCAGGAGGGAGGGCAATGCACACTGGACAAAAGTGCTGAGCTAATCAGCTCCTCACCAAGTCCAAGGGGAAGCTGGCCCCACAGTGCATCTAGCTGACCTTTGGCTAGGACTGGGTCAGTCACTGCATGATAATCATGAGAGGCAAAAAGAGGCCAAGGAGGTGCAAATCGTGTGTGTGTGTAAGTGTGTAAGCCTTCTCATTCATCAGGGCATCAGAGTGGTTCAAACAGGATATTGGTGGTTGGCTTCCTGGACTTGAATCCCAGCCCCACCTTTTCATGCTGTGTGATCCTCGTGAGGCTGGACTGGTGAGTAGGGTGGTTTGGAGCATACCTGGGAGATTGGTGGAGTGTATCTGTGGGTGCATCCAGATGTGTCTTAGAGGCAAAACCTTGGATACTGTCTCTGGTCCTTTGCCCCTTCCACCCTTCCCCTGCTGTGCTTCTCAATTGCCATGAACTAAGCATCTTTGCCTTACCACACCATCCTACCATGTTTCTGCCTTGGAGTCAGCTGATGAAAGACTGTCCCATTAGAATATGAATCAAATTACCTTCTCTTCCCTTGAGTTGTGGGTGTTGGGCATTGTGTTCCAGTGATGGGAAAGCTAGATCATATCCCAGATAAATTAATTAACCTTGCCGGGTATGGTGGCACATCCTTGAAATCCCAGAACTCAGGAGGCAGAGGCAGGAGGATTGTTGCAAGTCTGAGACCAGCCTGGGCTACAAAGTGAGCCCAAGGCCAGCCTGAACTGCAATAGGAAAACCCTGTCTCAAAAAGACACACACAAAAAATTAACCTTTCTGCATCTCTTTTCATATCTACAGAATGGGATCAATAGTAGAATAATTTCACAGGGTTGTTTAACTCAGCTTTAATTGAAAGATTGCTGGGAATGGATTTAGCCTGGGGCCTGGCCTGACTGAGCTAGATGGGAAGGGATCTGGGCATTGAAGGACTTGAAGCTCATTCAGTTTGGGAGGCTGGGCCTCCCAAAGGAGAAATGCAAAGTTGCAAATACAATATCAGGTATGGACATGAGCATTTAAACTATGAGTAGATATATCACAACAAATAACAAACTGACTAATCCTCCAAATATGACAAAACCTAGAAAACTACATAGTAATAAAAGCCTGAATTCTAGCAAAACCCTGACTCATTATCTTTGTGTGTAGTTCAGGCTGGTCTTGAGTTCACAGTAGCCCAGGCTGGTCTCAAATTTGCAAGGATCCTCTTGCCTCAGCCTCCTGGGTGCTGGGATTACAGCTGTGTCCACCATGCCTGACCTCTAGTATTTTTAATAAAAGAAACAAAGCCACATAAATCAGTTTTGCCTCTAACATAGTTGATCAGTGGTTGTTATTCCTAAAAGCTTCTTAGGGTTTCACAATTTATTGGTGATATGCTATCTGTAAAGCTTTGAACAGTTTCTTGCTGGGATCTTAGAGAGCTCAGCCCTTTGATCTTCCAGAGGCACAGTGGCCCTAGGGCCTGGGCAGGGGCAGGGATGAGGTAGTTGTGAGGCCTCTGAGCATGGAGCAGGCAAGTACATAGTTTAGCTCTTTGTCCTTGGAGTTCCTGGGGAAGGAACTGGGTATTCAAGAAGATCCTGAGACAGGTTTTTTCTGGAATCCAGGTGGGCTCAGCTCCTTGACTTAGCTTGCAGCCCCAAGAGGGCCACCAGAGCTGGGCAGTGATTCTCCCAGACAGAGTGGCACTCTGCCTCTGGGAAGCATTTGGGGCTCTCCCACTGCCACCCTTTTAGGAATGAGGCTCAGATGTATAAGGGAACTCATAATGTCCAACTTCCTCAGTTCCTAGCAAGTTGACCTCTGTACTCTATGCACATAGCTTAATAAAGCTTACATTTTAGGTCATTTTATTGCTTCAAAGAATCCAGGAGGCCCACAGCCAGATGAGCTCTGTGTGACTAAGTGCCCTGCCTTTCTGAAAAGTGAGGCTTCCAGTCTTATGGTTGACTTTTCCTCCAGATCCTGAGTTATCAGAGAAGCCTGCAGGTATTGTTTCACAGATAAAGAGACTTCTATGCCTCTGGTGTATAAGGGTGGCTCCTGCATGGGCAGGAAGTGGGCAGACTGAGGTGTCACTGGGCTGCTGGGGTTACACCCTGTCCCGAGGCAGGGTAGGGCTGACTTGATCTCAAGTGCAGTAGGGGTGTCGGCTCCCCTCAACTGCCCTATGAGGTGTCGCTAGGGAGGCCAAGTTTCCTCTCCCAGGAAATCTCACAGCCCCAATTTCAGGACTTGAATTTCTCCCCTTAAATAGCATCATCATGATCACAGCTGCTGTTTGTGGAGCTTTGACTGACTTTTGGTCACAGTGGGATTCATAGACCTGGTCTTCATCTGTCCTTTGCAGATCTATGTGAGGTGGGTATTAGCCTCGCTCTTGTATCTTAGTGGCTTCACAGAGTTAATGTGTGCAAGGCAGATATCTAGGACTGCTAGAGTTAGAGTCTTAGCCCTAGCCTAAGTTTTACCTGGAATTCTGGATCTAAACACTCTTCTATAGTTGATGTGGGCCACCAACGAAAGGAAAGTGTTTTCATCTAGAAGCTTGTGCAAGAACCGAGTTCTGAGTTCCAGGTGGCTGAGAGTGCTCTTGTGAGGATCTAGGATGGATTTGGAGAGAGGTAACCAAAACACAAAGTCAGAGTTCTCAGAGATGGCAGGGGGACCTCACACCATCACAGGCTGTGCAGCCAGGGCTGGCTGAGTTCACCCAGGGTTGGGGACAGGGAACAGCACAGTTACACTTTTCCATTTGAGACCTGCCATCAATACTCAGAAGTTCTTAATTCCATGCCTTGCCACCTGAATGAATTGAGAAACAAACTGACATTTCTTACCTGGTAGTTAAGACAGTTGATGCCAATCTTCGGAATTACACAGTTTGGAAAATTCTGAGAGACAAACACATAAGAGAATGGCTTTTAGACACACTGGCTGCCAAGTGCCTCATCTTTGTCCAGAAAGGAAAATGTCCTAGAAGACCCTTTGGGCCATCTTGCCAAGCCCTCCTTCTTTGGAATCTGCTTTCCAGATTTCAGGAAGCATGTCTGTGCCCTTTCCTGGAGGCTGCAAAACTGCCTCATTCACACAGCTTTCAAGTGTAAGCCTCATAGCAGAGAGATGATTGGCCACAGCAAAAGGGCAAGCCATTTGAAGCCATCTAGCCATTATAGAAAGAAACCAATTTCAAGATTTGCCTCTCATTCCTGAATTTTTTTTTATAAAATCAGAAATACCTGCATATTCAGGAAGGGGATTAGGAAGTGTAACTGATTGGGCTCTCTGTGTTGTGAGTACCAGTGGTTCTCTACCATGAGAGTTTTCACGTTTCTCCATTTAATGTTCCTTCCAATTGGGAGATGGTTTGCATTTGATATTCAGCAGGTGGGGCTGGTGAACAAGGGACACACAACAGGCAGAGAGGATTATTGCAGTGCCTGGAGTTTGATCAGAGAAAACCAGTTACCCCACTTCTGAGCAGCTGTTAATCAGGCTGAGACTCAGAGCAGATGGGTAAGCCTTTAGAGTTCCTCATTTGCATCTATTTGCACTTTATTGTATAACATGTTCTTATTCCAGAACTCTCATCTCTTCCTTTCAAATATGTTTGGAGCACTTGCTAAGTACCAGGCACTCTGCTGTCTCCCTGGATCTTCCCAACAGCCTGTTTTATGAACACTAGTCATAAAAGCTAGCATTTTTTGAGCATTTATTCTATGTCAAAACACAGGGCTAAGTATTTTATAGTATTAGCTATGATAATCATCACTATTTTTACTCTCATTTTAAAGACGAGGAAATCAATTCAATACAGTCCAATAGAGGTCCGTAATTCTTTGTATGAGACCCTGGGATGAAATCCAGAATTTTTTGGATGTGGATTGTGTATTGTTTCATTCTCAGAAGAGCCATATCACATAATAAAGTATATTCAATATTTGTGCATAGAAATGTTTAAACTGCCTTAATGGTGGGATAAAGATTATAAATGGCCCCCTTGTCAGTTGGGGTTTTATTTTTATTTTTTATTTTTTGTCTTTTTTTCTTTTTATTGGTACCGGGGACCAAACTCACGACTACCTGCTTGCAAGGCAGGCGCTTATGCTGCTGAGCTAAATCTCCAGCCCTGTCAGTTGGGGTTTTGATGCCAATTGAATTAC